GTAGTAGTAGTAGTCTGTAGTAGTAGTAGTAGTAGTAGTAGTAGTAGTTCTGATAGTAGTAGTAGTAGTAGTAGTAGTAGTCTAGTAGTAGTAGTAGTAGCAGTAGTAGTTAGTAGTAATAGTAGTAGTAGTAGTAGTAGTAGTAGTAGTAGTCTGATAGTAGTAGTAGTAGTAGTAGTAGTAAGTAGTAGTAGTAGTAGTAGTAGTAGTAGTCTGATAGTAGTAGTAGTAGTAGTTAAAGTATTACCTGCAGTACGGTGGCCTCTGCTGCGTGTGCGTCCTCCATGTCTCTGATCTGTCTCTCCAGGCTGTCGTTGGCTCCTCGCAGACTCTGGTTCTCGATGCTGGTGTTGTGCAGTTGTCTCCTGAGTTCTCCCAGCTCCTCTCGGCTCTGACGCGCCGCCTCCGAGCTCCTGGACGCCTGCTCGCTCACGCTCTGGAACCGAGACTTGTACCAGTCCTCCGCCGACTGCAGGTTCTTCACCGCCATCACCTCGTACTGACTCCTGATCTCCTTCAGCGCCGACGTCAGGTCTGGTTTGGAACGCTCCACCTCCACCGACACCTGACACACCACGAGACACTTTCAGGAACAGAAGTAAAAGTTCTAACTATGGAAGAGGATTTGTTCTGTTCGATTTTGAATTTTAAATACCGCTGAATGTCTCACTTTGAATTTTTAAACTCCGAAAAAAGATGTTTGAATTATTTACCAGCATTAATGTCTCCTACCACAACTCTGCAGACGACACTCAGATCTACGTGTCACTGCAGCGGGAGACGATGGACCAGTGGACTCTTTGCCACTGCGTCCATCAGATCAGTGTGTGGATACAAAACAACTTTCTCCAGCTAAACTCAGACAAGACTGAAGTCATAGTGTTTTGGTTCACAGAAACAAAGAGACAGTGTCAGCATCACCTCCAGTCTCTCTCTCTAAAACCTTCAAATCAGGCAAGAAATCTCGGGGTAATAATGGACTCAGACTTGAACTTTAACAGCCGCATCAAATCAATAACATCTGCAGCCTTTTACCATCTCAAAAAGCATCAAAAATCAAATTTATAGTGTCTAAATCAGACTTGGAGAGACTTATCCATGCTTTTGTCTCTAGTAGGTTAGATACTGTAATGGTGAGGAGAAAATTCAGTTTGTCAAATGGACAAAAGTGAGTTTAGTTGAAGACGTTTCGCAGCTCATCCAAGCTGCTTCTTCAGTTCTGGTCAGACGCTGGTGGACACTTCCTTATATCTGTCTGCAGGGAGGAGCTAACTACACTGAAACTACTCTGAAACTAACACACACTTGGTTACAGTTTCTGTTTGTTAGTTGGGCCTGTTGACCTGTACAGGGTGTGGGGTCTAATTAGCAGAACAATTCATGGTAATAATGGAGCTTCCACACCTCTGGACCTGACCTGACTACACCTGTTGTTCTCTTGTTTGTTTTGATTTAGGTTTGAGGATGGAGTTGTCATCTATCTCCTATTTACAACTCCATCCTCAAACCTGAATCAAAACAAACAAGAGAACAACAGGTGTAGTCAGGTCAGGTCCAGAGGTGTGGAAGCTCCATTATTACCATGAATTGTTCTGCTAATTAGACCCCACACCCTGTACAGGTCAACAGGCCCAACTAACAAACAGAAACTGTAACCAAGTGTGTGTTAGTTTCAGAGTAGTTTCAGTGTAGTTAGCTCCTCCCTGCAGACAGATATAAGGAAATGTCCACCAGTGTCTGAGCAGAACTGAAGAAGCAGCTTGGATGAGCTGCGAAACGTCTTCAACCAAACTGACTTTTGTCCAGTCGACAAACTGAATTTTCTCTTGGCCGTGGATTCTACCTGGACGACCGAGGGATTCTTCACACATACTCACTGGTCTCTCCAAACGAGCTGTGAGACGCTGCAGAACACCCAGAACGCTGCAGCTCGGGTCCTGACTCGAAATAGGAAGTACAAGCACATAAGTCCAGTGCTCAGGTCTCTGCACTGGCTCCTGTGGCTCAGAGACTTCAAAGTTCATCTGTGACATGTTAGAGCCACATGAACCATCTCAGGGACCAGCCTCCTGCCGGTGCCCAGAGTCAGGACTAAACACAGGGAGAAAGTGAAGCGTTTTCTGCTACGCCAAACGCGTCATAGGTGTATCTGCCGCGTCATCGTTGTAGCAGCTTTAGTTCGTTGTCACGTGGGAGGGCAGCAGAAATACGCTGCAATTTGTTTAAAAAAAAGCTGAATCAACATAAAAACCACTTCAGCGACAAATACAAGGCCCACACATCACTCTTAGAAGGTAGAAAGCTCTGAAAAGTTGATTTTGCATGAGATGGGCCCTTTAAAGTTAAAAAATTCCAAGTGAGAAATTCAGTGGCATTTAAAATTATAAATATGATTAAACAAATGATCAAACTTACACCAAACTTCACGTCACTTACACTTAGACTTTTTTGATCCACAAGAGAAATGATTTGACCACACAGATGTGCCCTGACTCGCCCTCGTCCCTCTGTACCTGCTGCGCCTCCATGAAGCTGCTGAGCTCCTCCATCTCCTCCTGGTGCACTTTCTTCATGAAGCTGATCTCGTCGGTGAGCGAGTCCAGTCTTCTCTCCAGGTCCAGTCTGACCGCCGCCGCCTCGTCCACGTCCTTCTGCAGGGCCTTCAGAGAGAGCTCCGCCTGAGACCGACGATCTGCCTCCTCCTCCAGACGAGCACACACACGCTGCAACACAAACTCTCTTCAATATCTCAGGTTTTTATTCTTTTTTTTTGGTATAATCTGGAAAACTATATACAGATGATTATTTAAAAATGCATCAGAACTCTGCTACATTTGCTTATAAATGTAAAAAGTTGAGGTTGAAGTCGAACACAACATGAATGGACAATAAAATAAACCACAAAATTTATAGAAAAAACATTTATAGATCATAAGCTCCATATCTCCAAAAAACAATTGTATTATAAATTTTTCTCACCACACAGAGGACAACAGCTTAGACTGAGTTGCAAAAACACTGTATCAATAAAATGGTCGACCCTCCACCAGGAACATGTCATCATACACCTTTAATGTGTCTGTAAGGGCACTTATACACTGGCCAAGCTGGTGCCGCCAAGTGCCTCTGCTCAATTTCATTTCTCTCCAGCGACTAGATCAGGAATCAGAAAACACTAGACGATTCACAAAAACCCTGGAAGTGCAAGTTCGGGCACCAGCCGATCAGCGAAGAGACAGACATTCTGTGTTGTCAACGATTCCGAGATCGAGGATTTAAAGCCAGAACAAAGAGAATGTTTGGTGAATTTTATCAAGAGGAAAGACGTTATTGTTCTTCTTCCTACGGGATTTGGGAAAATCTTAATATACCAGTTATCCCCGTTATCGGCGCATTACAAACATCACGACCACAGCAGCGATTGGTTAAATAAAAAAAAGTACCCGCCTACTGTCGACCGAACGAATCCTAATGCTGCAAGGTCACACGGTTTCTACAAAGTGAATCCGTGTGATGAATCAGGCCACATATACACGAGGTGGTTTTTAGATTCTCTAGATTAGAACTCTGCATTTGGTTCCATATGTGGCCAAAATGTTTAGGCCCAAATTTTATGCAAATGAATTAATATTTAGAGGAGCTCAAGACACTGTTGCCCTGTAGGTCCTGTTCTATAACCAGTATTGGGAAGGTGACTTTTAAAATGTAATCCCCTACAGATTACAGATTACATACCTCAAAATGTAGTTTGTAACGTAATCTATTAAATTACTCAAGGTGAGTAACGTAATCTGAATACTTTGGATTACTTGATTTGCTGTAGAGAAGCAAAGACCAGGATATTTTAACTGTATTAAAAATATTATTGATAGAAGAGGAGGAGACACGTCCACGCAGCCTGGTTTAGTCCTGTTTTAGTCCTGGTTAGTCCTGTTTTAGTCCTGGTTTAGTCCTGTTTAAATCCTGGTTTTAGTCCTGGTTTAGATCTAGTTTAGACCTGGTTTTAGTCCTGGTTTAGTCCTGGTTTGTCCTGGTTTAGACTAGACCTGGTTTTAGTCCTGGTTTAGATCTAGTTTAGACCTGGTTTAGACCTCGTTTAGTCCTGGTTTTTAGACCTGGTTTTCCTGGTTTAGTCTAGTTTAGATCTGGTTTAATCCTGGTTTAGATCTAGAATAGACCTGGTTTAGACCTGGTTTTAGTCCTGGTTTTAGTCCTGGTTTAGATCCTGGTTTAGACTGGTTTTAGTCCTGGTTTTAGTGGTTTTAGTCCTGGTTTAGTTTCCAGCAATGGGTGGAATTACCGAAAAATAAATAAGTAAAAATAAAAATAAACATAATGTGAAAACAGGAAAATACCGCCCTGTAATCCATTTATTTCAACAAAGTAACTGTAATCCGATTACCACTCACTGAAACAGTAACTGTAACTGAATACAGTTACTCATCAATTTGTACTCTGATTACATAACTCCGGTACATGTAATCTGTTACTCCCCAACACTGTCTATAACACAGAACCAAATAAATAAGTCCTACTTGAATAATTTGTCATTTTATTCTGCAACACAAACTGAAACTTACATAAAAATACTTAGAAAGTTCATAAAAGTTGCTTATAAAGTCCAGCTCCACTGTGTGTTTGTTGGCGTCACTAAAGATGCTCCTGTGTCTGTGACTCCTGCTGTAGATCCTGTTTCTGATCTTCATTCTTTCTCAGACTTTTCACACTTTAAAATCTTGAATAAGCTTCACCTCCTTTCAGCAACATCATGGACACTTTCCTGGAATGTACAGTTTCTCCTTCAGAAAGTCTCATAAGATGCACCACGAATAAGGTAAACAACATCAACAATAAACTAAAACTGAACAAAGAACCTAAGAACGCAAAATTAGACAGTTTCCAGGAAACTTCATGCAGCTTGAGCAGCCTCTAAAACATCTCATTTTTCTTCCAAATTTCTTCCTAAATCATCTTTTGGAGCTAAAATCTAAAGCAGGTTCTAATTGAGGTTTGATGGACCAGCCTGATAAACACCTTTAGTCTGTTGTGTGTATAAAGTGTGTGACCTGCAGTTCTTCCTCCTGGTTGCTGCGCTCCACCAGCAGTCGGTTCTTGTCCCGGTTCAGGGTCTCGATCTGGGCTCTCAGGTCTCGGATCTCGTCCTTGTAGACCTGCTGGACTCTGGACTCGGCCTGTCTCTGCCTCAGGGTGAGAAGCTCCTGCTCCAGACTGTGGTTCTGCTGCTCCAGCTGACGCACTTTCTCGATGAACACGGCGAAGCGATCGTTCAGGCCCTGACAGAGGACGGCACACGGACCAAGAGCGTTAAAGCTGCAGTATGGCACTTTTCTGCTTGTTTCCATGGGGATATTATTGATTTTCCTGGAATGTTTCATTACGTTACATGAAACCTACTTCTACTTCTACCTGTTCTCAAAAATAATCCATGAACTCAGAGGTTTTCATTCTGCGCTCTTCTCTTCTTTTTAAATTTTATGATGATTATTTTTGTTTAGTCCTGGTTTAGTCCTGGTTTAGTCCTGGTTTAGTCCTGTTTAGTCCTGGTTTTAGTTCTGGTTTTAGTCCTGGTTTAGTCTGGTTTTAGTCCTGGTTTAGTCCTGGTTCAGTCCTGGTTCAGTCTGTTTAGTCCTGGTTTTAGTTTGTCTGGTTCAGTCCTGGTTTTGTCCTGGTTTAGTCCTGGTTTAGTCCTGGTTTAGTCCTGGTTCAGTCCTGGTTCAGTCCTGGTTTAGTCCTGTTTTAGTCCTGGTTTTAGTCCTGGTTTAGTCCTGGTTTAGTCCTGGTTTTAGTCCTGGTTTAGTCCTGGTTCAGTCCTGGTTCAGTCCTGGTTTAGTCCTGTTGGTTTAGTCCTGGTTCAGTCTGGTTCAGTCCTGGTTCAGTCCTGGTTTCGTCCTGGTTCAGTCCTTGGTTTAGTCCTGGTTCAGTCCTGGTTCAGTCCTGGTTTAGTCCTGGTTTCAGTCCTGGTTTAGTCCTGGTTTTAGTCCTGGTTTGTCCTGGTCCTGGTTAGTCAGTCTGGTTTAGTCCTGGTTTTAGTCCTGGTTCAGTCCTGGTTTAGTCCTGGTTTAGTCCTGGTTTAGTCCTGGTTTAGTCCTGGTTCAGTCCTGGTTTAGTCCTGGTTTAGTCCTGGTTTAGTCCTGGTTCAGTCCTGGTTCTGGTTCAGTCCTGGTTTAGTCCTGGTTTTTAGTCCTGGTTTTAGTCCTGGTTTTTAGTCCTGGTAGTCCTGGTTTAGTCTGGTTCAGTCTGGTTTAGTCAGTCCTGGTTCAGTCCTGGTTCAGTCCTGGTTTAGTCCTGGTTCAGTCCTGGTTTAGTCCTGGTTCAGTCCTGGTTTAGTCCTGGTTCAGTCCTGGTTTAGTCCTGGTTCAGTCCTGGTTTAGTCCTGGTTCAGTTCTCACCTGCAGTTGTTCTTTCTCGTTGGTCCTGACGATCTTGAGTTCGTTTTTGACGGCGGAGCTCAGACTCAGGTCCACCGAGTCTTTGTGGACCAGCGGCACCGAGCGGCCCGTCCTCCGGTACGACCCCGTCCCCACCGCCGAGGACGAGGAGGAGACCACCACGCGGGGCCCGGGCGCCGCTCTGAACCGCGGCGAGTCCCCGAAGAGACGGCGGTAAGACGAGGAGCGCTGCCCGAAGCTCATGTCTGCTCCAGCCGCGGGTCAGACTGACCGGTTTAGACGGTTTAAAGGATTAAGACCCGGCGCAGGACGAGCCGCTTCACGCCCCGACGGTGACGGGAGTGTGTTTAAGCTGCACTGACTGACTTTTAAAGGTAGTTTCTTCCCTGAAATGTTCCGCAGTGTTGCTTTTTGTGTTTTTTTTTTTCATAATGTATAAAGTCATGATGTTTTTCCATAATGATTTAGTCCTGGTTTAGTCTTTTTATAGTTTTGGTTTAGTTCTGGTTTTAGTCCTGGTTTAGTCTTGGTTAAGTGCTGGTTTAGTTCTGGTTTAGTCTCTGTTTAGTCCTAGTTTAATCCTGGTTTAGTCCTGGTTCAGTCTTGGTCTTAGTCCTGGTTCAGTCCTGGTTTAGTCCTGGTTTAGTCCTGGTTTAGTCCTGGTATAGTCCTGGTTTTAGTCCTGGTTTAGTTAGTCCTCCTGGTTTTAGTTCTGGTATAGTCCTGGTTTAGTCCTAGTTCCTGGTTAGTTTAGTCTGGTTTAGGTGTAGTCCTGGGATCAGTCCTGATTTAATCCTGGTTCAGTCCTGGTTTAGTTCTGTTTAGCCCTTTGATCACTGGTTTTAGTCTGGTTTTAGTCTGGTTAGTGGTTCCTGGTTTAGTCCTGGTTTAGTCCTGGTTTAGTCCTGGTTTGTCCTGGTGTAGTCCTGGTTTAGTCTGGTTTAGTCCTGGTTTAGTAGTCCTGGTGTAGTCCTGGTGTTAGTCCTGGTTTAGTCTGGTTTAGTTCTGGTTTTAGTCCTGGTTTAGACCTGGTTTAGTCCTGGTGTAGTCCTGGTTTAGTCCTGGTCTAGTCCTCCTGGTTTAGTCCTGGTGTAGTCCTGGTGTAGTTCTGGTTTAGTCCTCCTGGTTTAGTCCTGGTTTAGTCCTGGTTTAGTCCTCTGGTTTAGTCCTGGTTTAGTCCTGGTTTAGTCCTGGTTTAGTCCTGGTTTAGTCTGGTTTAGTCCTGGTTTAGTCCTGGTTTAGTCTGGTTTAGTCTGGTTAGTCCTGGTTTAGTCCTGGTTTAGTCCTGGTTTAGTCCTGGTTTAGTCCTGGTTTAGTCCTGGTTTAGTCCTGGTGTAGTCCTGGTTTAGTTCTGGTTTAGTCCTGGTACTGGGTACAGGAGTCTCACCTCTGGCTCTAGAAGATATGAAGTGTTAAAAATGGAAAAATACATTTGGTGAATCTTGATCACGTTACACCAAAAAAATGAAGCACCAACCAACATCCAGTGGACTCTTTTAGAAAAACTAGACGTCTGTTTTTAACACGTCCAACATTTGTGATGCTGTTTAACCTTATTTTTGCTAAATACATTTTTGAAAATGTGTTTTCTGCAAACATGCAGAACATTCATGGACTATGAAGAAACTAAGAAGAAAACACTCTGAATATTTGACACTCAGCTTAAAATGCTTCATTTCATTTTTTAGTTTTTAGTTTTTTAGATACATCAATCTGAAAGTGACTCTGCTCAAAACAGGTCAGGGCAGAGTTGACAAAATATTTTTTATAATAAAACTATAAGGAGTTGGGAGTTTAAATTTGGGACGTTTCCTGTTGGAAAGTTTGTGAACCTCCTAGAATTTTTTCTGTCAAATCTGAGATGGTCGAGCGAGGCTCAGAGATTTGGTGTGGAATGACCGTTGTATAGTTTTTTTTTCATAATATAATAATTTGGGGACTTTTAAAACACTTTGCTTATTTAAGGAGCTCAGATTTCACCATTTTCTGTTTTCTAAAGCTGCGTTGTTTTGTGTTTTGTTTCATTCACACGTTTAACACAGTAAATACAGAGAGTTTAATCACAAAAGACACAAACTGTTATTTTACATTTGTCAACAACTCAGATAATGGATCAAATATCTTCACTAAAATTAAAATGATCTCTTTTCTCACCAGCAGAGGGCGCAGTTTCATAATAAATCACCGTACTGAACTTAAACTTGTAATTTCAAACTGTTGATGTGTTGACAGAGTAAAGAGACAGAGACAGAGTTTATTCTCTACAGACGACGTGTAAAAAAGTCTGTGCAAAAGTGAACAGGGACGCAACAAAATATGAACAGCTGCGATTTGGTCTCATTTTGTCTCTTTTTTTTGTGACTAAAAGACATTAAAATAATTATCTGATGAAAAGTGCATCACATCTGCACGTTTATTGGTGGTTTAACTGGAAAAATTCATCTTATTTTAAAGTTTAAAATTTCATATGACACTATTTTCTGATCTCTCTTCTAATGCAATCTTTTTATACTTATAAATGAAATAAAGAAATAAATAAGAAAATATATACATTATGACATGACTATATTGACCCACTTTTATTCTCTGGTTTTTAATACCAAGTGAGTTGTGTACTCCTTTGTGTCTTTATTTCATTTTATTTTATTATATTTTTTATTTTTAAGTGTTTTATTTTTATTTTATTATATTTTTTATTTTATGTTTTTTTTTATTTGTATTTATTTATGTGTTTTTATTTTTAAATTTAGCTTTTTCTGTTATTTTTATTTTATTGTCTTTTTTAATCTTTTTTTTTTGTTTTGTTTTTTTTTTTTTCATCCCAGACGCTTCCTCCTTCCACTTCCTCTTTATTTTATTTATTTATTTATTTATTTATTTATTTATTCATTCATTCATTCATTCATTTATGTGTTTGTTTATTTACTTATTATTATTATTATTATTATTCATTCTATTTTGTTCATCTTTTAAAATCATCTTTATGCTTTTTAACACATTTTTATTTATTGTTTTCATTTGTGATTTTCTGTCTTTTATTGTGTTAATTTGTCTGTGCAGAAGTGAACTGGATAAAACTGTCACAGGAGTCAGTTGTGCGTCATGTAGGACACTGTAGTTGTGCGTTTGTTGTGCAGTTGTGTGTGTGTGTTGGGGTGTGTGAGTGTGTGTGTGTGTGTGTGTTGGGGTGTGTGTGTGTGTGTGTGTGTGTGTGTGTGTGTGTGTGTGTGTGTGTGTGTGTGTGTGTGTTTTGTCTCTTGTTTATTTCCTGCTTCTTCTCTTGTTTCACTGCAGCGGCTCATTTATTATTAAAACTACAGCGAAAAAACACCCACTCAACAGATAATACTCCCTACAACTGTACAACTCACCTTATGTAACAGATAATACTCCCTACAACTGTACAACAACTCACCCTTATGTAACAGATAATACTCCCTACAACTGTACAACTCCCTAGTACACTCACGTAACTTATGTAACAGATAATACTCCTACAACTGTACAACTCAAACTTACACCCTTATGTTACAGATAATACTCCCTACAACTGTACAACAACTCACCCTTATGTTACAGATAATACTCCCTACAACTGTACAACTCACCCTTATGTAACAGATAATACTCCCTACAACTGTACAACTCACCTTACAACTGTAACAGATAATACTCCCTACAACTGTACAACAACTCAGACTTATGTAACAGATAATACTCCCTACAACTGTACAACAACTCATCCTTATGTTACAGATAATACTCCCTACAACTGTACAACAACTCACCCTTATGTAACAGATAATACTCCCTACAACTGTACAACAACTCACCCTTATGTAACAGATAATACTCCCTACAACTGTACAACAACTCAGTTACTAATATGTACAGATAATACTCCCTACAACTGTACAATGTACAGATAATACTCCCTACAACTGTACAACTCACCCTTATGTAATAGATAATACTCCCTACAACTGTACAATGTAATAGATAATACTCCCTACAACTGTATTTATATAATTATCCTTTATTTCTCTTCAGTGTCTCAGTGAAGAGTTTGTAGTTTTGTTTTCTTCCAGCAGAGGGCGACACACGCTCATATTTGAACCCCGTGAACCCGATCATTTTTTTTTTTTTTTTTTTTTTTTTTTTTTTTTCAGGGAACGGTCAGTGTGAGACAGATGCAGAAATAAAAGGGTCTGAGAGAAGCAGGTGCAGAGGAGGAGGACAGACACACAGAAAGAAAGAAAGAAAGAAAGAAAGAAAGAAAGAAAGAAAGAAAGAAAGAAAGAAAGAAAGAGAAAGAAAAGAGACTAAAGACGAGCCTGTGGGAGACGGAGAGAAAAAAGATTTGAATATAATTTTACAAAATCACTATTTTCAAATTCTCTAAAAGTTTTAAAGTTGTGTTTTTTTTCTGCTCCTGCTGTGGTGGTTTATTTGGAACCACAAGAGTCCAAGACCACAGACCACAGTCCTGCTCGGTCTCTTGGTTTAGTCCTGGTTTAATCCTGGTTTAGTCCTGGTTAAATCCTGATTTAGTCCCGGTTTAGACCTGGTTTAGTCCTGGTTTAATCCTGGTTTAGACCTGGTTTAGTCTTGATTTAGTCCTGGTTCAGTCCTGATTTAGTCCTGATTTAGTCCCGGTTTAGACCTGGTTTAGTCCTGGTTTAGTCCTGATATAGTCCTGATATAATCCTGACTTAGTCTTGGGTGCTGTTGGGTGCTGTTGGGTGCTTCTGCTGCGTGACCGCGCTCTTCCACACGAGCCTCACTGGTCTCGTGCACGCGCTGTGGGCGGGACACGAGGCTCTGAGTCAGTGCACGCGCTGTCTGTCACACGCGCGCACCGCAGGGTTCAAGGACCGCAGGAAATTAGAGCTGGTTTTGTCAGTTTTGTCCGGTTGGCCCGGAGTCGACTAAAGTAGATTCTTTTAGACTAAAAACACGTCCTGCCGATCGATTAGTCGACTAAAAAGGGGGCGTGGCAAAAGCCTGTGACATACCTCAGCGTGTCAGACCCAAACTGGACTCACAAGTAACGTGACCAAACGTCCCAGTTTCCCCGGGACAGTCCCAGTTTTGAGCCTGTGTCCCCTGTCCCCGCAGATTCATACAAAACCACTGATTTATACAAAAGTTTTATACAAGAAATGTCCCAGGCGTCTTTATTTTTGACCAATCTGATCCTGCCAACAGTTAAAACAGACATAAACTCTCATTTGTTTTGGTAAAATACAGAAAAGCTGCTTAAAAATGACCAAAACACAAAGAAAATATGACTATACTGATTCACATTAGTGCCAATAGTGCAACAGTTTTCCTTAATGATGCATTTGTTTCACAATTTTATTATCACCAACCACCACAAACCTGGGGATATCCCAGGTTTTTATTTTGAAAATCTGGTCACACTAATCACGAGACGACACCTGCAGAGGGAGTTCACGTGAGAACCACTGTTTATGTCGAAAAAAAGTACAGGGAAACTTCTTTTTTTTTACTGTGTGCTGACAGATTCAACTTGTGAATCATGAGTTTCTGTTTGGGCGGGGAATCATGAAGAAGTTGTCGATACGATACAGATCTCGATACAGTGCACTTTTGATACGATATATTTCAAATCGATTCGATACGGTTCAGTAAAAAAAAAAAAAAAAAAAAAAAAAGTCTAAATCATGTCTGTGACACTAAAAGTCTTTGTTAAACCAAAAATGAAAATACTTTTCTCTTTACAGTTGATAAATGTGGCGCTGAATTTTACAAGAACAAACTGGAACATGCTCCTCCCACTTCTGTTTGGATGGAACTGAAGTACTGTGATACTCAAATGTACTCAGTTTTGGGGAGTAACAGATTACATGTACTGGCATTATGTAATCAGAGTACAAATTATGAGTAACTGTATTCAGTTACAGTTACTGTTTCAGTGAGTGGTAATTGGATTACAGTTACTTTGTTGAAATAAATGGATTTACACAGAGGGATTTTCCTGTTTTCACATTTTGGACTAAACCAGGACTAAAACCAGGTCTAAACCAGGTCTAAACCAGGACTAAACCAGGACTAAAACCAAGTCTAAAACCAGGTCTAAACCAGGAATAAATCAGGTCTAAATCAGGTCTAAACCAGGACTAAACCAGGACTAAACCAGGACTAAAACCAAGTCTAAAACCAGGTCTAAACCAGGAATAAACCAGGTCTAAACCAGGTCTAAATCAGGACTAAACCAGGTCTAAACCAGGTCTAAACCAGTACTAAACCAGGTCTAAATAACCACTAAACCAGGTCTAAACCAGGACTAAACCAGGTCTAAATAAGGACTAAACCAGGTCTTCAAATCAAAAAGCATTTCCACAACTCTTTAATAAATATACCACAACTTTACAGTACAATTTATCTTAAAATTCATATAAATTGCAAAAATCTGAGCTTTATTTGGTGTTTTGGACTTGAAATGACTTGAAGCTCAAAGCAGACGACTTGGACTTGACTTGGACTCATGCACCAGTGACTCAAGACTCGACCTGGACTTGCCTCTATTTGACTTGGGACTTGAGATCAACGACTTGGTCCCTTTCCTGCTTTCATCACACAGTTTTCCCGTGTCTCTCCGGGACCGTGAACGCGTCATCAGTCTGTCTACTCGTGTCTGGAGCCTCCGGAGAACCAGCGGACCCTCCACGGTGCATCACTTTTAACTTCAATCAACCGGATTTCCATTCACGATTCCTGTCACATTTTCCACCTTTTCCCGTCCCTCCGCGCGGATCTTACGTTTCCGGAGGATTAATTTTCACCGCCGTAAACCGGAGTACTGATCCGGACTGCTGCTTGCTCGTGGTAAGTGCATTTTTTACTTCTTCTGGACTCGCTTTTCCAAGTTATTTGCAATGATAATTTTCCACCGAACTGTCCAACGTGATACTTCCCGTAACTAGAACTTCCCACGCGCGTAAACAAGCGTGGAATTCCCTTTACGCACGGTTGGGAATGCGCGTAAAAGGATCTGCAATTGAATCCCGCTTGAAAACCTCGCTTTTTAGCATATTCTCACAACGTACTGCAAACTCATTCAATTAAAACTCAAATCAAACGCTTTTTTATGTTTAGTAGAACGTAGACAGTAATTCGGCATGTTTTCTTTAAATATATTCGAGTTTATGTTAAGTATATGTTGCATTTTTTGAGATTTTGTTGCATGTTGTGAAGTTGGAAACGCGTTGAAACTGCATGGGAATCGTGTGTGAAAAAGTCAGCGTAAACTCTATGGGATTTGGCACAGGAGTTGTTATCGTAGAGCGGCTTTTAAAAGTTGTCCGTCCACATTTCGGTGAGTTGGTGGGAGGAGTTACGCACCGGGTGAAGTTGTGTTTACTGCTCCTGGGTTTGGATGGATTATATAAACCGCAGAGGAACAGGAGCAGAGCCGAGCGTGAGTGACAGGAGCAGTGTAAACACGAGGATTGGCCTGACAAAGGCTGTTTATGCAAATACTGAACAAAACTAATAATTATCCCTCAGTAACGTGACTGTGGGGAACTGAAATATCTGATATCCTGGTTATTTATAGGTACAGGTCAAGTACAAAAGACTGAGAAGGTTTGGTGTTGCTTATGGACTAACGTATTAAAATAATAATAATTTAAAAAAAAACATAAACTTCTGCTTTAACTTTTGCAAGGTTGTTCACATTTCCAATTAAACTCGACTTGTATGTGATCTCCAGTGTGAACTTAAAAATTGTATTTCCACAAAACTACACTTTCAAAACATATAAAAACATACACACAGTCAGGAGTGTGCAAAAATATCAAAATATCGATATATCGTATCGTTTAATGTAATGATACAGTATCAGTATCAGGGACAGCTGTATCGATATATCGCCAAGTATTTTTTGGTATATTTTACTAAATTATTTCGTTACAGTGCTGCAGTTTTGTTGTTTGTTCAGAGGAAGGAAACTTGTTTATGTGACACATTTGACATTTTCACTGTTTTGATGATTAAAATGTTTGTGTTTCATATGAACATGGTTCTCGCTTGGAAAAAGGCGTCTTGTCGTCTCCGGGCGGGTGGAGAGTTTCTGCGTCAAGTGGAGGAGTTCAAGTCTGTCGGGGTCTTGTTCATGAGTGAGGGGAGGATGGAGCGTGAGATTGACAGGTGGACAGGTGCAGTGTCGGCAGTGATGCGGTCGCTGTATCGGACCGTTGTGGTGAAGAAGGAGCTGAGCCGAAAGGCGAAGCTCTCGATTTACCGTCAGTCTTCGTTCCTCCTCTCACCTCTGGTCATGAGCTCTGGGTAGTGACCGAAAGGACGAGATCGCGGATACAAGAGCTCGAAATGAGTTTCCTCCGCAGGGTGTCTGGGCGTCTCCCTTAGAGACAGAGTGAGGAGCTCAGTCACACGGGAGGAGCTCGGAGTAGAGCCGCTGCTCCTTCACGTGGAGAGGAGCCAGTTGATGTGGCTCAGGCATCTGTTCCAGATGCCTCCTGGACGTCTCCCTCAGGAGGTGTTCATGTCCCACCGGGAGGAGTCCCCGGGGAAGACCCAGGACACACTGGAGGGACTCTGTCTCTGGCCTGGCCCCGGATAAACGGAAGAAAATGGATGGATGATGTTTCATATGAACTTTGCACAAGAAGTGATTTAACAAAGACTTTTAGTATCACAGACATGATTTAACCTTTATTTTTTATTGAACCACATCGAATTGATTTGAAATATATCGAATCGTAAGATCGCTGTATCGAGATATGTTCGTATCGTATCAGTAACTTCAAATAAAAAATAAATAAATAAAATGACTTTCAGCTCTGGTTTTCTAGTAGGCGACCGAACTAATAAGACAAATTTCCAATCCATCATAATTCAAATAAAAAGAGACGTGCATGTCTCATGAACAATGAGGAAAACCAGACAATAAATATATTAAAAAAAACAAAACAGAAAAATGGTGCATTATAGTGAGGGCCCCCAAACTGCCGAAAAATAATCTTAATTTCTGAGCGTCAAGTTTCAATACAAGTTTTTATCTCATTATCTCATTACTTTGAACAACTCTATTCATATTTATTTAGTTATTTATTGAGAAAAACAAACAAACAAAACAACAAAAACATACAAATCTCTTGCCTAGAGCCAAGTTTATTGCATCGAGTTCTTTTTGGGACGTTGTAATGTTGATGAAAACTGTATTTCTTGAGTTATTGATGTGGTAATGTTTGTCTGTGCAGCGATACGTCTGAGTCTGAGCGGCTGGAGGAAGTTTCCCTTTTGTCTGAACAATGAACGGCCAGTGTGGAGCTGGAGTCAAATGCCCAGACTGTAGAGAGATCAGACTGAGGCGTCTCGTTCAGATAATCCAGATTAAGGACTCGGGTCTCAGGACTGAAGACTGTTCCTCTCACAGAAGTCTGCAGGTTACGCCAGACCTTTATTTATTTATTTATTTATTATTGACCTGGGACAGTCCAAGTTTTGAGCCGTGTGTCCCCTGTCCCGGCAGATTTATAAAAAAAACAAACACTGATTTGTCCCAGTTTTATACAAGAAATGCCCCACGTTTCTCTATTTTGGACCAATCTGATCCCCAACAACATTAAACAGGGATTATTTTAGTGTCGTAGTTCCTGTAGATTGTTTGTTTACGGTCTTGGTCTTGTCTTGGACTCAACCGTGTTTGGAGTCAATCTTATCTCGGTCTTTAAGGCGTTTGGACTCGGTCTTGTCTTTGTCTCGAAGGCGCTGAGACTCGGTCTTGTCTTAGTCTTGTTGGTGCTTGGACTCAGTCTTGTCTCGGTCTTGAAGGCGTTTGGACTCGGTCTTGTCTTTGTCTCGAAGGCGCTGAGACTCGGTCTTGTCTCGATCTTGATGGCGCTGGGACTCGGTCTTGTCTCGGTCTTGATGGCGCTGGGACTCGGTCTTGTCTCGGTCTTGATGGCGCTGGGACTCGGTCTTGTCTCGGTCTTGAAGGCGTTTGGACTCGGTCTTGTCTTGGTCTTGTTGGTGCTTGGACTCGGTCTTGTCTTGGTCTTGAAGGCATTTGGACTCAGTCTTTTCTCGGTCTTGAAGGCGCTTGGACTCGGTCTTTTCTCGGTCTTGAAGGCGCTTGGACTCGGTCTTGTCTTGGTCTTGTTGGTGCTTGGACTCGGTCTTGTCTCGGACTCCAGTTCTGACAATCTTTGAGTGTGATCATTTTTCATTACGGCCGCTGCTGTCGGTGATAAATTTCTTACAGCGACATGTGGTTGAAGTTTGTCTAATAAACGTTCACAAATGCGTCTGTATTTGTCACGACGTGTGTTTGGTAAAAGTGCAGAGGCTAAATCCCACTGCAACTTCAGTTAGAAACTTGAAAAACAGGTTTAAAAATCCTGCTCACTTTCTTCACTTTCTTCAGTTTTGTGTAAAGTGCCAGTGAAGTTCTTTTAAAGAAGAGCTTCTCAGGGTCCAAAAAAATTTGTCCTATTTTACGCCTAAATTAACATTAATCAGATCAAATGAAGATAAATGTATAAAAAAACATTGATATATTTGTGCCAAAATAACTGTAAAATGAATTGATATTGAAAATGACAAAGATGGTCTCGATTTGGTCTCGATGGGCCGTAATCTCAATCTTGTCTCGACCCTCGCAGGTCTTGGTCTCGTCTCAGTTTCGACCCTCGCAGGTCTTGGTCTCGTCTCGGTCTTGACTCTCACAGGTCTCGTCTCAACTCTCGCAGGTCTTGGTCTCGTCTCGGTCTTGACTCTCACAGGTCTCTCGGTCTCGACTCAGGTCTCGGTCTCGTCTCGGTCTCGACTCTCACAGGTCTCGGTCTCGTCTCGGTCTCGACCCTCTCAGGTCTTGGTCTCGTCTCGGTCTCGACTCTCGCAGGTCTTGGTCTCGTCTCGGTCTCGACTCTCACAGGTCTTGGTCTCGTCTCGGTCTCGACTCTCGCAGGTCTTGGTCTCGTCTCGGTCTTGACTCTCGCAGGTCTTGGTCTCGTCTCGGTCTCGACTCTCGCAGGTCTTGGTCTCGTCTCGGTCTCGACTCTCACAGGTCTTGGTCTTGTCTCAGTCTCGACCCTTGGAGGTCTTGGTCTCGTCTCGGTCTCGACTCTCACAGGTCTTGGTCTTGTCTCAGTCTCGACCCTTGGAGGTCTTGGTCTCGTCTCGGTCTCGACTCTCACAGGTTTTGGTCTTGTCTCGGTCTCGACCCTTGGAGGTCTTGGTCTCGTCTCGGTCTCGACTCTCACAGGTCTCGGTCTCGTCTCGGTCTCGACCCTCGCAGGTCTCGGTCTCGTCTCGGTCTCGACTCTCACAGGTCTCGGTCTCGTCTCGGTCTCGACTCTCGCAGGTCTTGGTCTCGTCTCGGTCTGGACTCTCACAGTCTCGGTCTCGACTCTCGCAGGTCTCGGTCTCGTCTCGGTCTCGTCTCGGTCTCGACTCTCGCAGGTCTCGGTCTCGTCTCGGTCTCGACTCTCACAGGTCTCGGTCTCGTCTCGGTCTCGACTCTCACAGGTCTCGGTCTCGTCTCGGTCTCGACTCTCGCAGGTCTCGGTCTCGTCTCGGTCTCGACTCTCGCAGGTCTCGGTCTCGTCTCGGTCTCAACTCTCGCAGGTCTCGGTCTCGTCTCAGTCTTGACTCTCACAGGTCTCGGTCTCGTCTCGGTCTCGACTCTCACAGGTCTCGGTCTCGTCTCGGTCTCGACTCTCGCAGGTCTCGGTCTCGTCTCGGTCTCGACTCTCGCAGGTCTCGGTCTCGTCTCGGTCTCGACTCTCACAGGTCTCGGTCTCGTCTCGGTCTCGACTCTCACAGGTCTCGGTCTTGTCTTTTCTCAGATTAGATTCTGTCTC